ACAAATAAATAGTCGTAGACGTATATTGTTTATAATTACAGAGGTAAATAACAGAACAGTCTAGAGTCCGAAGTGGTCGGTCGCCTCCAGGGAATGAGAAGGGTGGGGAGAGCTGGAGTGAGGACTACCGCTTTTTCCTGACAAGCCTCTAATAACAGCTAAATATGTTTTAAGACATGAGAATGAACTCCATTGTCAAAAACAAAATATTTTAAATAATTTAAGTAATTTGTATAATTCTCATAACCCTGTGCTGGCATTTCTTCATTGTTTAATTTTGTAAGGAGGCTCCATGCCCACCGTGGGCTTGAACTCATGACCCTAAGATGAAGAGTCACAAGCTCTACCCACGGAGCCAGCCAGGCGGCCTCATTTCTTCATTTTTAAATATATTAGGAACCTTGGGGAGCGGGGGAAGGTAGTGTGCCTGGCCCGAGTGGCCCTGTGAGCTCTGGCTTAGAGATCAAGGCGCTACCCCCGCCCCATTCTCCTCTACACCAGCTCCCCACACAGGAGGGAGAGCACTATTTACTCTTTCCCTATTATGGGATGGGCTGAGGCCCTGGGCGTCCAACCTAGGTGGGCCCTGAGTCCTAGGGTGGGAGTGGAGGAGCCACAGCTCCCAAGCTGGGGAAGTCAGGAGGAGTCCTCCCATGAGACTGCAGCCGAGCCATCTCGGAGTCCCACTAGCCCTGCCCCAGACGCCGCTGCCCGGCTGCTGCTAACAAGGCCCCAGGGAGCGTGCAGGACACCCTGCCCAGCCCCAGAGTCCCAGATGCTGCCTGCCACCCTCCCTGCTCAGGTGCCTCACCTCGAGTCCCCGAGAGAGGCTGGTACTGCTAGCTGGGCCAGGCTGCCCCTCCCTCCCTCCACTCCTCAGGGGCTCTGCCCAGGGTCCCCAAGGCCCTGCTGTTTGCCAGGGCTGGTGTAGGCCCCGCACCCACCCAGCCGACCCCCCCCCCACAAGAAGCTCCCCCACCCTGCCCCCAGCAGGGCCTACAGTGGAAGTGACACCTTGCCGAGGCCCAGGTGGGAGAATTCATTACTTTCCCCAGCAAAGGCCTGCAGCTATTTCATTGCTGGAATGAAGAGAGTTCCCAGGAAACCTAACACCCCGCCCTCCCCACTTCGAGAAGGAAACCCTGCACCCCAGCCGGTCTCCACTGGACAAAAGCGGGGGGGGGGTTCTCCTGAGCTTAGGGGCTGGGAGATGCCGTGGGCAGAGGGATGCCCTGCTTCTACTCAGGCCCCCACCTAGACACGCACACACATGAAGAGGTGTCCTAGGAAGACCCAGTCCTACTCCTTTTGCCTCTACGCTCAGGGCCCCTGTACTGGCCGAGGTGTACCAGCACCTGCGTACTCACTGCCCTCCGGACCTGCAGGTGTCTACTGACGCATCCTACACAGCCTGGGGCCAGCAGACTTGTCCAGTGCATAACCCCTGAGCCCACGGGCTGCTAGCAGCGTATTTTTCAAATTTGTTCCACATTAGTAGAAGCCTTTGGTTAGATGGACTCTGACAAGGATGCACTGCTGGAAGAAAAGGTGAAGGGGCCCTGAGCACAGAGCCTTCTACATGCTTGGACTTGGTCTCCTTCCCCTGCTTCTCGGCCTCCCCAAGCCCCAAGGAGGACCACCAGAGGCTGGGGTGGTCACTGCTTCCCAGCCTTCCCACCAAGTAGGTGGGAAGGGTCAGGAAGGTAGGATGCTTCCTTGAGCTGAGCTGGGTGGCTGAGGGGGGCACCTGCGGACCCTCCTCCCACGCCGCCCCTCCCCTGCTTCCCGGACATGTTGATGCTGGCTCTCTGGGCTTTGTGGTTCCCCCTCTTGAGCTTTTCTACTCGTCAGCTGTGGGACTGCCTACTTTAGGGGCAGAGGGGGTCACAGGTGCTCTGGGACACACCAGGTACCTCGGGTGGGGTAGCCTCTGTCCAAGCATTTGGGCCCTCACAATCCATCTGACCTAGGCCTCTAGGTCAGGAGGATGAACTGAGGAGATCGGGGAGGGGGCTTGGCGGCGGGGGGCGGGGGGGAGACCATGATGGAGCCAGCCCCAGGAGGAAAGAAAATGTTTCCTTGGGAACACAGTCTGGCCCCGTCCAGAGTGCCCGTTGCCAGGAGAGGAACCCTGCTCTCCTTGGCCCTCCCACAGGGAGCTTTGCTGCCTAACCTCCACCTCCCACCTCCCGGGGAACACCAGGGACTTGTGACTCAAGAACACAGCCGGCAGAGCCAACCTCAGGGCTTCATCAGCCAAGGGGAAACTGGCCTACAGCCCCCTGCCCCCTTGCAACCTGGCCAGGCGTGCATGTGACAGGAAGCAGGACACCCAGCAACCATCACCCTGCTGGGTTCCGGCTGGGGGTGGCCATGGACCCTTTTCTTCACCAAAACCCCTGATGAGCACCTCCCACCTCCCCACCACTCCCTGCTTCCAGGCTCAAAGAAGAGCTGTGGGGTTGGGGGACACAGAGCAAAGCCACTGAACCTGCTCTGAAGCCTGCCACGCCACCCCCCCCCCCAGCCTGCCAGCGATGCCAAGCCTGTCCCTGGGAGGGCCTCTGTGGGGCTTTCTTGGAGCGCAGAAGAGGCAGCTATGCCAAGTGAAGACCAGGGAAACCCAGCTGCTGTGCGCTTGAGGAAAGCCGGGATGTGTTCTGGGATAGTGGGGGCTACGGGGACCTAGCTGGGATGCCTAGGGTCTACAGGCTTTCATTATGATGTTAGGTGGGTGCCCCCAGGTCCATCCCTGGCAGGAAAGGGCTGGGTGGGGCCCCTTGGGGTCTCCCTGGGGGCCCCCATGCCCTGAGGACTGAATAGTGCACTTTCTGGAAGCAAGGGTCACTCTGGGTCAGTCCTAGAGCGGAGACACATCCAGGAGCCTCTCTCACCAGGACTGACTGGCATTCCCCTTCTTGGCACCCCCGGAACAAGGGAGAGAACTGCCCTGACTCCTCTGTGGCTGAACAAGGGTTAACTTCGACCAGTACCCTATATTCCTGTCTCACCCCGAGAGAGGGTGAAGATAGGGCTGAATCTGGTGCCTAGTTTCTGTGGCAGCTGGAGGAGAAAGAGGAACCCACTCAGCAGCCCCAAAGCACCCCCACAGGCAGCGGGTTCCTGGGCTCCCCACCCCACTTTCACTCCAGCAAGATGGCTGACTTGAGTACTGGCAGTCAGAGAGGCCTAGGTGAGAGTCTTTTCTTCTAGGGCATTTTGCCTCTCTCCAGTCTCAGCAAGAAAAGAACCCGCCACCCCTCAGACAAGGTAGCAGGACTGAAACCTTCTGGAGATTCAGCCACTCGCCTTCTGCCCAACAATCCTTGGACCAATCATCAATCACCCCATCAAGAAGCTCCTCTGGGAGCAGATTTAAATCCTTCCAGCTGGAACCTGTGTCAGAAGCCTATCTTCTTTTGCCCTCAGGGGGAAGAAAACAGGAAAGAGTCAGAGGAGACTGGAGTGTCCTAGCGCCCAGCACCTCGTACTGTATTTCCTTGTTCATGCTCACACCACCAGAACCAGGTCTCCTTGAGAGCAGGCGATGTGCCTGGTTTGTTTGTCTTCGTCCCCCAGGACCTGCCGCTCATACCTCACTTCCTTCGTCAGGGCTCTATGGTGGCAAACCACTTCCTTTATGATAGATAAACAGAGGCATGGTCTGAGGAGCAACTTGGAGTGCCCTTGTTTAAGCAGAGGTAGAATGCAAAGTAGACACCCCAACCAGGCATGGAGGCTCAGGTCACCCCAACATTTTCTAGGACTGCTCTGTGGAGGTGGAGGCTTTGCTGCTCTGAGGGCTCAAGGGTGGACTTCACTCTCTGACCCTCACCTTGCTCTCCACCTCACTTGTCCTTTGGGAAGCAGACAGCTCCTCCAACTGAACTTCCTGTGACTCAGGAAGTGGCCCTCAAAAGGCATGTTCCCCAAGGGGACAACTCCTGAACTGAACCACTCCCATGCACCCAGAGTCTGAGATCTGGGCCAAGTCTGTGGGCCTGCAGCCTGAGACAAACCAGGGCAGGCTGGGCCCAGCTCTGGCTCCGACTCTCCCACCCTGGCGGTTGAGTTGCCCACACCCCAAACACCCTTATGTGGCCTGGGGAACCAAAGGCAGAGTTGGGAACTACCTGTGAACTGTGCCTGCCTTGGTCCTGAGGAATGACCAGAAGACCCCATCCCTTACCCCGTCCTCTGGGAGGCCACCGCCCAGCCGAAGGTGGCTGACCCACCCGTTCTCACTGACTGGCAGGGGCCAAGGAGCCGCTCTGTGTGCAGAACCTCAAATCCTTCCTGTGCCCATTGGTCCCTAGCTTCCTCGGCGCCTGGAAGCCAGGCCCCAGCACCAGAGGGCAGGAGAGCTCCTTTCAGCACCTGGACAAGGCCCTTCAGGGCTTCCCTCTAGAAGGTGGTGGCGGGGGTCTCTCTTTCTCCATCCACTCCGCATTCCAAAGCCGCCGCCGGGGTCTGAGGGATCCAGAGGCTCTGGCCAATCCGAGCAAACAGATGCAGCGCTCACCCGTGAGGGTAGAGGGCACTGGGTGGGGCTGGGATGCCCGGGAGTGTCACAGCCTATTCTCTGCTCCTTGACCTTTGACCCCCGCCCCACGCAGGCCTTGCCCACCTCCGCACACTCACGCGGGAGGTGTCGCCGCTTGGCTGCTAGGCGGACTCTGGCACCACATGGAGCGCAGACCAAAGCCGGCAGCCCCTCCCCGCAGCCCTCCGCCTCGGCTGAGGAGGGGCACGGCGTCCCCGACCCCAGCCTGAGAGGGTCCCGGAGCACGTGCGGGCCGTCCGTCCGAGCCGGAGGGGAGCGGGTGGGGACCGCTCCCATCACCCTCTCCCGGTCAACAAGCACAAAAGCCGCGGCCACGAACAAAGAAGCGCTGCAAACTCGCCGGGGAGGCGGGACAGCCCGCGCCGCGCCCCCTCCCCACACCCGGCGGGCGTGCCAGGCCGTGGGGGTCCCCGCGGCGCCCCGACGGCGCTCGTACCTGGCCGGCGCGGACCTCCTTCTCCAGCTCGCGGTGGCGGTTGTGCCACACGAGGTAGTGCAGCGGGTACTTGCCCTCGGGCCCCTTCCTGGCGGAGGCGTTGGCCGGGATCATCGCCCGCTCCTCATGCCAGGGCCGCGGCGCCCGGCCGGGGAGGGGGGACGGCGCCGGAGCCGGGGCCCGGGGCCGCGGGGCGGGGGCCCGGCGCTGCCTGCTCGCCGGGCTGCGGCTCGGGCATGTGCGAGCGGCGCCGGCGGGCGGGGGCGGCACGCCCGGCGCTGTGCGGGCGGCGCGGGCCGCGGGCGTCCTCGCGAGGCGGTGGCGGGCGGCGCGGAGAGGCCCCCACCCGCCCGGAGAGGGAGCGGGCGCTTGGCGGCGCGGCGCGGACTCGCGCCTCACCTCCCACACCCCCGCACACAAAGAAGCCGCTCGGCAAAGGGAGCAGGCGCCCGCAGCGGGCGCGGGGGCGCACGGGGCGCGAACCCCGGGGACGCCGCCGCAGGGACGCGCGCCCGCCGCCCCCGGCTCCCCGCAGCTGCATTGCCCGGCCCCCAGCCCGAGCGGCCGGCGAGTGATGCGGGGATGCGGGGGAGAGAGGAGGGGGGACCCGGGTGCCCGGGGCAGAGCTTGCTGTAGCTCGGCCCCGTGGCATCATGGGGCATGTAGTCCGCCTCATAGAACTACGGGTGGCGGGTGGCCGGAGAGGGTCCGGCACTGTCGCCCCTGGTCCTGTGAGCGGGTGGGGAAGAAGTCAGGCCCAGCGGGACAATGTCCTGACGCCGGTGGGCCGGGACGCACCCCCACCCACGGGCGTTTTGCCTTTTGCTAGGCAGGAAAGGGGCTGCAGGCCTTGCTCAAGGCTTAAAGGGCGCGGGAAGGTGTGGCCTTCAGGATTGAATTGGGTTCCCAGTGGAACATGAGGAGCAATCCAGAGTCCAAGGAGTTACTGATGGGGGGAATCCTGAGAAAGGTGAGGGACATTAGTACCAAAGGTCTTTGGAGCAACCAGGGATCTGGCACTTGAGATATTATGTAGGAGTCGTCCCTGCCCTCTTAGAAAATCACATTCCATCTTCCACACTTGACATTCGAAAGGGAATGACCGTTAAGGCTAGAAGGGCAGTCCTCTCCCCCCATTTGCTGTCCTCTGCAAGGACCAGAGAGGGGCTGGGCAGAGAAAGCAGCAGGTGGCAGCTTCCCACCTACACTCAGTGTGGTTCCCTCAGGAGAGGAAGTGACTGATTCCAAGAGACCGGCTCCTTCCTGCATAACCCCGGGGCAGAGAGGTCCTTCCAGAAGAGGCCCAGCCGATGCAGTGGTAAAAGAGGCTGCCCATTCCAAGGGCTGGAAAGACCAAGAGGCGTGGCCCAGTCCCTGGAGGGCGGAGGGAGGAGGGATTGGGATCTTACAGCCGAGTTTGAATTCCTCCTTACTAACCACCTGACCGTAAACAAATTGCTTAAATTTTCTGCTTTCGCAGACCACTCACCTCTAAATGAGACTCTAAACACTACCTACTAGGGTGAACTAAGGATAGTAACTGCCCTGGGAAATGGCGCACCCCGCCCGCAAGCGGGCTGACTGAGACAGGTGGCGGGACCGGGCACAGTGCCTTCTCGTCCACCTTAGAACAGGACAGGAATTAAGGATTCCATACCAGCCCTACTTAGAACAATCCAAGAAGTGTTTGCGTGGGAGGTGCTAGCAAAAGCTTGCAAACTCTCTGCGCCTCTCTCAGGTTTCTTTGTGTGGTCTTCTCTCCTTCCTCCTCCACACCCTGCGGTGCCAGGCCCAGGCGGGAAAGGATAAGGGAGGAGTGGACTGCCTCGCCCCTTTCTCCAGCCGGGGAGGAGCCAGCTGGCGTCTCCGGCAACCCGGGACCGCTGCCCACCTCTACCACGAGGGGTCAGCAGAGTCTTGTGGCTGCCGCGGGAGTTGGGGAGGGGGCTGGAGGGGGGGAGGGACGGCTACGAGTAGCCGGGAGAATGCCTGTACATTTCCTCATTAAATTGTAGAACCTTGTCTGAGATTTCTCTTTTACTGTCCTGCTTCCTGAGGTGGCGACGTCTCCAAAGGGAAATCCTGCAGCCCTTTTATCCCCAGACCAAGGCCCCGAAGCTCCGCAGCGGCGAGGCTGGGGGCTTCCGGAATAAAGTTTGGAGAGTGTGGCTCTTTGCCTGGGCCACTCCCAGGTAGTCCCCGGGCCGGCCGGGAGGGGGCAACAGGGGGAATCATCCTTCCCCCTGGAAAGTGTTGGGGCTCTGGGAGAGGAATAGCTCAGCCTGTACTGGGGGACTTGGGCTCTTAGCAGCCTGGCCTCTTTGCCAGGCGGCCCTATACCAAACCCAGGTCGCTCTTCCTCCGGTCTGCGCGCTCCAGCTGCCACGTGCTCGAGACGCGCCCACACAGCGGAGAAACAAAGACAGCCAAGCGATGGGGCTGCCAGTGGCCGCCTCGACATTTAATAAATGAAATTCCATAGCTGGGAGATCGGGGATGAACGGGCGGCCACCGCTCGTGGCATGTGCGCCGGTGGCCGCTCCTTTTCGTCGCCCAGCCCGGGGCCACCAAGCCCACAGACTGACTCCTCGGTGCGGCAGCAGCATGGTGCGGCAGGTGGTGCTCCCCGCCCCCGCCGCCGGCGCCCCCCACCCCCACCGCGAGGTATCTTTGCTCGCAGAAGCCCCGCCAGCTGAGCGGCTGGCTGTGGGGGGAGGGGAGGCCTGCAAAAAGATTTTTCTTAAAGGTGCGATTATAAATATACCCCGTGGATCGCGATTTCAAACAAACTTGTCAATCTGGGCTGCAGCTAAAGGCGATGGAGGCAGCTTTGCTTGTATTTCGGGTGGTGTGACTCATGAGCATTACTTGTCTCCCCCAGGGAAGCAGTCGGCCCACCCACAAGTCACTGCTGCTCCGGCACCGCTGGGATGAAACCGACCGATTCCCAAACCCCTGCCGAAGGACTCCCCTCCCATCTACACCCCACCCCCCACCCCCCTTGTTACTGAGGTCTCCCTGCCCCTCAGGGAATCTTCGCCTCATTCAGTCACCATCGCCAGACCCCCAGGCCTGGTTTGGGCCACCCCTGCCCTCTCCCTACAAGCCAAGTGCTCTGGCATTTTGCTGCTGCAGGGATGGGGGCTGGGTGCACGCGGGGCACACGTGTATGGGGGAGCATGCTCAGTGCAGGGGTGCACCCACGTGCGGCCTGCGCCTCCGCTTCCTGTCCCCCCACCTACGCCGTCTCCGTGTGAAGTCTAGGAAGAAAGGCCACCGTAAGAAAAGATCCCTTTATGTTGTGTGCTCACGCCTTGGACACACAAAGCCGCGGTGGCCCAGAAACACCGTGGAGAGAGACAAGGCGGATGCAGAGTGGTTATTACGGCACACAGGCACAGTGGTCACTCCTCGGGAGGTCTTTAAAAACTACCCAGATTCTTTTCTCTCGGGATGGAAGCATGGATGAGGTATAAATGTATTTTTAGCTGGGAGGCAGGGGAACACCTGGGCGTCCATATTGTTGGCGTTGTGCGTAATCAGCAAGGGCGTGACCACACGCACACCTGGACACTTAGATGTGGATACACGGGGGACCAGGTCGTACACCTCACCTCCGCCAGACATAGGCGGGACCCCAAACCACAGCCCTTTGACAAGGAAGGGAGCCTGGGCCTTCAGCTCCTTACTCTCTTCCGTGTTCCCCAAGAGTCACTGTCCCCGGACCTGAGCCACCGGGCCGCCCTCCACCTGGAAAGCGAAGGGGATGGGGCTGTGAGGGTAACTCACACTGCCGCGAGGCCGGGGAGCGCGGGAGCCGAGCCCAGGGCCCCAGGCGACGCCGCACTCTCGGGTCTGCCTAGCTGCGGCCGCTGCCCCTTTAAGCGCCCCCGCCCCCTCCCGCCCGCACTGCCGGCTTCCTTTCTCCGGGAGGCGCGGCCCGCAGGGCCGGGCGGCGGGGCGGGTGTGCGGGCCGCCCCTCCCCCGGTGGGCAGGGCCTGCGCGGCTTCCTGCAGGAGCGGCCCGGAGCCGCGCAGGGGGCGGAGAGAGCGAGCGGCGAGCGGCGGCGGGGCGGCGCGGGGCGGCGCGGGGCGGAGGGCGCCGGAGGGCGAGCGGGCAGGCGGGCACGGCGGGTTCCGGGCCAGCCCCGGGGGCGGACGGTTGGCCGGGCGCGCGGAGCCTAGCCGGGGCCTTGCCGGAGCCGGGCCGGGCAGCAGGGGCCGCCGCCGCCCGGGCCCGCCGCCCGCGCCCCCCACGCTGGCCCAGAGGGCTGCGGCCGCGTCGCCGCTGAGGATGTCCCGGAAGGGGCCGCGGGCGGAGGTGTGTGCGGACTGCAGCGCCCCGGGTAAGCGGGGCCGGGCCGGGGGCGGGACCGTGCGGCGAGGCCGCCGGGCGGGCGCCGGGGCCTGGCGGGAGCGCCGTGCGGGGCCGGAGGGCGGGGCGGGGCCGGGGGGCTGCGGCCTCCGTTCTGGGCCCCTGCCCGGGCCACTGCGGAGCCGTGTCCTTGGCGGGAGGGCCGGCTGGGGGGCCTCGGTTCCCTTGCGTCCGTGGACGAGCGAGGAAGGACATTCTCGGCGCCACCTCCCACCCCTCAGTCCGAGGGAGGCAGGCAGCTAGCTGCCCCCCCTTCTGTCTCTGTATCCCGACGGAAGCGCCAGCCTGGGGTGGCAGGAGGGCTGTGGCGGAGGCCAGCAAGGTTTAGGAGGTGGGGGCGAGTGTGGTTTTGTGTCATCTCAGTGCCACCCCCGCGTCTTGCACCTGCTGCTCGCATGGTCTGCGCGCCCGCTGAGGTGGCGGAGGTCAAGGGGCAAGAGAGCTGGGCAGATGGACCAGGAGGGGCCTGGATAGTGTTTCCTCGTGAGCAGACGAGGGGTAGCTGCTCCGAGGACTCCCTGCCCCTGGTTACCAAGGCCGGGGCTCCTTGCAGGGCCTGGTGTTGAGGGCCAGTACAGCCTGGGCATCTTCCTCGGAGGCATCCCCAGGCTGCCTGGTGACTGTGAGCAACTAGACTCAGCTGTCCCCGTGCCCTGTGAAGGCCTGCTTGAGAAGGTGGGCTGAGCATTGTCCCAGCTTGGACACTGACCCCTCCTGCCCCTGTGCCCCCTCTGGCCAGAAATGGGCAGGAAGCAGTACCCCTGCGTTGTCTGGATTCCCAGGACCGGGCTGGCTTCCTGGCT